CTCGGTGCCTCACTGGGTGCGCGCTATTCCCGAGATTTGAGCGAGGGTCTCCCTTTGGGGGTCTTTCAAACACACATGATGGAATGCATGATTCCATGACGGGCACCCCTGGTAGGTTGAAGGGAGCCTCCTAAAACAGGCACAATCATCTTTCCTGATGCAGAAGCACAGGTTTCTTTTTATTAATTTAAGAGAGAGGTATTGTGGGGGACCAAATATTTCTGTTATGAAATATTTTGGGGCCCAGCCTCCTTGCAGCACCAGAAAGCTCTGGTCCACTATTGTATTGTTAATGCCAGTAGGGATACTATTGTTTACCATGGCCTCAGGGTAATATGCCTCCTAATTTGCATCTCTCTGCTCCTAAGCATCTGAATAGGCCCTCACCTGGGTGGAGGTGCTAGAGGTGTATGAGTAACTTGTGAGGATGGAAGGTTAGGTTAGGGGAGAGCAGCCAGAGCAGAGAGGGAAAAAAGAGAGAAATGATTCCCTTGTAGTATTGGCAGGATGGTTAACAGACACCAGAAAGATGGCTAATAAAGAAATAACTCTAGTCCTACAACATGGAACTGAGAACTCTTTAAAGATGACAAGATGCCTGTGTTCTAACTTTATCGATGTTGGGTTGCTGGGAGTTTCCACACACCCCCACTCAGCTAGAACCTCATGGTTGTCGTGGGTTAATGCTGAGACATACTGTGTCACAACACTCTTCTCCTTTAAAGTCATGGCCTTTTTTCCTTTTATTAAATGTAGATTTTCTTGCCCCCCACCTCCACCCTCTGTTTGAGGTGAGTGTAGAGTCAGCTGTGGCACAACTTCCACTATCTCCCCCTTGGAACTTCCTGGGCCTACTCTGCTTGTAGTGGACTAACCCTGGCAGGGCACACCATCCGTAGTCTTGCCCTCCTCTATTATTTCTGCCCTCTACCCTCAACTTGAGTCTTGGCCTTTCACACCTTCCTCTTGAGTGAAGAAACACCAGGAAAGGCTGGATCATCCAGAATTGCTAACACTGAAGTCTTGCCCCACCTATGGTACTGGGAGAAAAAAGGAGATGGAGATGCCCCAACTTTACCCACTCAAAGAAGAGATGTGAAGATGGCAGTATAAGAACACACTCAAAAACAGAAAAAGAAATATGGTGCCACCAGAATATAGGTTCTCTACACCAGCAAGAACAGAACATCCCAATGCAGATGAAGCAGAAGAGAAGGACCTTAGAATCAACTTTAAGAAGATGTAAGGTACCCCCAAAGAGGAAACAAGACAATCCCTTAAAGAAATAGAAGAAAAAAAGAACAAAAAATACAAGACATGGAGGAAAAGACAAACCAAAAAATTCAATAAATAAACAAATCCCTTAATGAGTGTAAAGAAAGCCGAGAAAAAACAACCAAGCAATTGGAGGAAACAATTCAAAAAATTCAAGGTTTGAAAGCTGGAATAGAAACAATAAAGAAAACACAGAAGTCAGGGATGCTGGAAATGGAAAAGCTGGGCAAATGATCAGGCACTACAGATGTTAGTATAATCAATAGAATACAAGAGATGGAAGAGAGAATCTCAGGTGTTGAATAGTCACTAGGGGAAATAGAGTCACCGACTAAAGAAAATTTTAACTCCAACAAAACCCTAACAGAAAATATCAAGAAAATATGGGATATTGTGAAAAGTCCAACCCTAAGAATAATAGGTATAGAAGAAGGTGAAGAAATATAGCTCAAGGGTACAGAAAACATATTCAACGAAATCACAGAAGAAAACTTCCCCAAACTAAAGAAGGATATGCCTATGAAACTACATGAAGCTTACAGAACATCAAATAGACTGAACCATAAAAAGAAGTCCCCTCACCATATAATAATCAAACACCAAATTTACAGAATGAAGAAAAATATTAAGAGCAGCAAAGGAAAAAGGCCAAGTAACATATATAGGCCAACCTATCAAAAATACACCAGACTTCTCAATGGAAACTCTGTAAGCCAGAAGTTCCTGGATAGATGTTACACAAATGCTAAGGGAACATGGATGCCAGCCCAAACTACTATATCCAGCAAAGTTTTCTATCACTATAGATGGAGAAAAAAAGATATTCCATGACAAATCTAGCCCTACAGAAAGTACTGGAATGAAAACTCCAACCTAAGGAAGTTAACTACACTCACAAAAACATAGGCAATAGATAATCCCACTTTACCAAACACCAAAAGAAAAAAAGTGTGTGTGGGGGATCCACACACAATACCACCCCCACCACCAAACCCCAAACAAACAAGAACTAGCAATCAATGGTCATTAATATCACTACATGTCAATGGTCTTAAAAAGTCACAGGCTAACAGAGTGTATGCAAAGACAAAATCCATCCTTTTGCATACAAGAAACACATCTCAACATCAAACATAGATTTTGCCTCAGAATAAATGGTTGGGAAAAGATTTTCCAATCAAATGGACCCAATAAACTGGCATAGAAACTTAATATCAAAAAAAAGATAAAAAGAGAATTCAATTGAAAATCAATCAAAAGTGATGAAGAAGGTCATTTCATATTCATAACAGGAAAAGTCCATCAAGATGAAGTCTGGAGCCAGGCATTGGTGGCACAGGCCTTTAATCCCAGCACTCCGGAGGCAGAGGCAGTCGGATCTCTGTGAGTTCGAGGCAGCCTGGTCTCCAGAGCAAGTGCCAGGATAGGCTCCAAAGCTACATAGAGAAACCCTGTCTCAACCTCCCGCCCCCCCCAAAAAAAGCTGAAGTCTCAATTCTGAACAACTATGTCCCAAAGGCACACACATTCATAACAGAAATATTACTAAAGTTCAAATCACACATAAAACCTCACACACTTATAGTGGGAGACTTCAACACCCCACTCTAACCACTAGACAAAAACACCATACAGAAATTTAACAAAGAAACACAGGTACTAACAGAAGTTATGACCCAATTATGCTTAACAGATATCTAAACAACATTACATCCAAACACAAAAGAATATAACTTCTTTTCAGTGCCACATGAAACTGTCTCTAAAATCAACGACATACTTTGCAACATAGTAAACCTCAACATATACAAAAACAATTGGAATAACTCCCTGTTTCCTATCAGATCACCATGGTTTAAAGGTAGAATCCAACAACAGCACCAGTTGCAGAAAACCTACAAAATCATGAAAATTGAACAATGAACAATTGTGCCATTCCTGGGTGAAGGAAGAAATAAAGAAATTAAAGACTTAGTAGAATACAAGAATGAAGACACAACATACCCAATCTTATGGGGCACATTGAAAGCAGTGATAAGAGGAAAATTCATAGCACTAAGTTTCCACATGAAGAAACTGGAGAATAGTCACACTAGAGGATTAACAGCAAACCTGAAAGCTCCAGAACAAAAAGAAGCAAATTAAACCCAGTTGAGTAGACCCCAGGGAATTATCATTTTAATCATCACTGTTTAGAAGTTTGGGTTCTATATTTCCTTCTTTAATTTTACTGTTTAAAGTTTTTGATATTTTTGTCCATTTCATGTTTAGTTTTTATATTGTTATAAAGTTAAGATCCAACTATATCCATTGATATGTGTGCTATATTTTTCAAAATATTCCAGAATGGCCAAGTTATTTCTCAATGGAAAGATCTAGATATCATCTTCAAAATCCATTTTTATTTCTCTGTTTAATACTATTTCACATTTTATCATTGTCATTTCTGGTATCACATGATTTATCCATGGTTTCTTATTTATTTACTTATTTATTTCTTTGTGAATCTGTTTACTTTTGATGGTATTGTGAATGGAACTGGGTATCTCACACATTTGCTAGGCAAGTTCTTTACTCCTAAGTTACACTGTCAAACCTCTATAAATTTTGAAATGAGTGTAATGTATGAATATTTCATTTTTTAAATTTTTCATTACGTTTCACTCTTCACTCAATTGGAAATGTGTATGAATTTTAGGCCGAATGTTTCCTTTTAGGGAAATAATTGTTATTGAGAAATATTTCTACTTTTCATTATGTTCAGTATCAATAAAATGATTTAGACTTGGGTACCAAATTTTAGATTGTAAAATAATTATAAATCAAAAATTACATTTTGTTTGTTGTCAAAAGTTGTTTGGAAGTGTGATACATGTAGTTTATCCCTTTCCCTCTTTCTATCATCACCAATGTTCCCCATTATAGAAGAAGTATAGCCATGTCAAGGTTCATATAAAAGCCAACAATGTACTATGATAACTTAGCTTTAGATGGGGATTCTGTATCAACTCCATCTACTCAAATGCTGAACAAACATCATAGAAGAGGAAGCAGACAGAAGGTTAGGACCAACCAGAGGATGGGGAGGAATGCTCTGAAAGATTCCCCCTTGATATGAAATAGTTGTACATATCAACTCAACAACAGGTGCGGTTTCCTGAATATCATTTGCTCAAGATTAAGGCAATTACAACTTTTAGCATGAAGCTGACTTAGAATAGGTCCTGATATCTGCTCTTTGATGAGAAGATATTTTCAACTAGTGGCTTCTGGAGAGGGAGATTTCTTTTCCTCTGTTGTATGTCTACTGCTAGTCTTCCCATGCCATAGTGAATGTCACTATGTTGAGTATTCTACTCAACAGACCATCCTCACAAGTTTATATGTTTTTAAATTTTTCATAATTCATTGATCCATTAGTACTGCAAATATGTGCATGTGTGTGGAGCATAGAGACTTTACAGTGGCCACAACCTCAAAAAATATGAATTCTTTCTGCAACAATCAATTAGCAACAACATCCCAGTTAGGAA